TCTCGTTCCCTTTTTTTTTTTGGTGTCTTTCTTATAGAGGAGGAAAAACTTGTTCACTGTAAGGCAGCTTTACTGAGTTACAGCCTGCCCTAACAAGTTAATGTTTTAATTGCCACGTAGAAACATGTAATTTATGCCCCTGGATCAAGGTCCATTGAAGTCAATGGACTATGGATCAGCTCCCGTATTTCTTTCTGGCCTGGGCAGGGCATGGCAGGCATGAGTCATAAGGCTAGATTAGAAACAGCTCTTTCTTGGGAAGAATGTGTCAGAGGATGGGATTATGAGCGTTCATCTAAGCCATAAGCAAGGGCAGGAAAGGAGAATAAAGAAAGGAGTTCCAGCATTGACTCGAGATTATTCACTTTTAGAGACTGACTTTATAGGCCCTTGTCACATAGGGTTTCTTCATACAGTCCAGATTTACACCCTGCCAAAAAAAAAATGTTGATCCTGCAGATTTTAACAGAACATGTCCTGATCTCTGTATTAATACATATACATCTGTTTCTGTATACATACATACAAAAAGTTTGAGATGGTACAGGCTCTAAAACTAATTCCTGTTTACAGTAAGAATAATTCTCATAGTTTCCACAATTTAGTGTATATGAAAAATCAGGATTAATGCTCTGCTGACACTGTAAGAATGCTAGAATTCCTATAGAGATGTGTGAATTGGACCTAAAATTTCCTACATTTTCCTAATTTTTTTTGCATGGAAAATGCCTTTTTAAAAAAATCTAACTGATACTGTAATTTGAAACAAAACAAAACAGAACAGAACAAATGAAGTCTTCAGTGTCTATTCGGACTGTTCCTCTTATTTCCACTCTGAACTATGAGAGTGGAATTCATCTCACCCAATTTAACTATCTAGTTGGTTTGGTAGCCTCCAAAGGCTCATGCAGAGACCTGTTGCGCATGTGTATGTGCAGGGGGGGCCTGCTGAGTTTTGAGTACAATTGGTCATGGCTAGAGGCGTGATGGCAACATCCCTGCCAGTAACGGGGTGCAGCTCCTGACAGGACGAGCAGGACTGCAGAGCTCCCACACACTCTTGGCTCTGTCATTGGCATGGAGAGGGGACTCTTCCTTTTTTTAAAACTTATGAACTGGCATTGCTTGCTAGCATCCATGAAGCCAGAAGCCAGCCTTGGCAAACGTTTCCTCTGGTTCAGCACACATGTCTCTGGAAGTAGTCCTGGGCAGCCATGGGGGTTAGAAGAGAAACAGGACTCAAGCACAAAACAAGAAAGAAACAAACCTGAGGGCATAAGCAGAGGCAAAGGTTTCAAGAGCTTGTGGGTTTATGTTCTCCACTAGCATTACTACTCTGGAAACACTAATGTTTAACTATATGTTCTGTATATTCAAAGAAGATGATTTATTATGGTGATATAAAGCAAAAAAAGAAGTCTGTGTCTTTTTACATCTAGGTTTGCCTTTGTTAATTGAATTCTCTTTACCTCCAACCTTCTTCATCTTTCAGATTAAAACAATTACAGACTTGTTCTTGTACTGCAATCTGGGCTCCTTTTAGTGTGTGTTAAATGGATTAAGTACAGGATGTATACTGAAGTATTCAATAATAATAATTATCTTTATAATAATTCAGCTCTATAACAACAAAGAAAATCTCTAATATTTAATTCCAGCTGGCAGTGAAATCTGAATACCGAGTAGATTAAGAAGAAAATATATAACAGCTTGGCTCCCTAAGGAAAAAGCATATCTCAAAGCTTAACATAAATAATATTTTGGGAGCCGTGACTTTGACTAAAATATCATTTATATGTCTGCCTTATCTCGTCGCAAACTGCAAGCCAAATAATTTCATTTTAAAATGTACATTTTAAAAAAAATTCAGTAAATGGCACTCCAGAAGAAACATTACACCACTGTCGGGAAAGAGAAGTCACGCTCTCAAAGGACAAAAAGCAGTGGGGTTTGCTTTTTGCATATGAATAGTAAGGTACACTCTATAGTACAAACCAGTATGGTAGCAAAGCTTTTTGCCTACAGATCTTGTAGATCATGTAAACTGAAGTAAAATTTGCATTTGTGGAGGGGAAACTGAGGTACTTTGAGGTGAGAGGCCAGATTCCAAGAGATGCTGCTGCCCTGGAAGTTTGGGAAGGTTTAGCCCTTTGTGCCAGTTTTCTCACGCTTTGAGGCAACAACAGCTGCTGTGTCCCTCATGTTCACTGTGCTGCTCAAGCTACTATAGAAGTAAATCATTGGGTGCAGTAAGCTCAACAAGCAACACTTGCAACAAGATAGTAAGGGATAAAGCATACTATCAACTCTGAAGACTGGTTAGCCTCATGCTGACTTAATTTGACTACTGTGGTGATGGCTGTTCTAGGGAAACTCTACGCAGAGATGGAGAGCTGCAGTAGAGCTCTGAACAACTAGATTTTCTTCCCAGGCAGCAAAATTCTCGTGCTTCCTTCAGTTCCCCTTCAAGCAACAGAAAAGCCTGAAGAAGACAGCACCAGACCAAGGCTGCCAGAAGAAGGAAACCCCATGTCTAATTGATCCTGATGGTCCTTCAGCAGCTTCACCCAGATGTATCCGACACCACAGCATTCACAGTGATTCAGCAAAAAGACACAAATGTACTAGTCCACATTTTATCTGACTTGATTACAGTTTGTAAGGAAATATTTCTATCTCTAATTAGCAAATTTAGAAAAACACCTCTCCCTTTTTTTTCCAAAATGTTTGCCTACTGATTCCTGTTAAGTTTATTTGTGTATGTGTTTGCCTGTGTAGTTCCCCTTGTGTATCACCTACTGATTTCCAGCTGTGGCTCCGCTTCAGAGTTAATGCTCTAGCAGTTTTCAGCTTGATTCTCTAGGAACTACTAGAGTACATGCACTGAGTAGTCCCTTCTCGTATTCTGGGTAAGTATGTGCAGAAAACATGTAAATGGCTTTAAGCAAGCAGTAAGGTAGGCAAGTTGAGAGAAGCTGATTTAATCATATGGAGAA